TGAGGAGTGTGGTGTTGATGAAGTTGGGGCAGGGGTAAGAGTGCACTGGGACCTCGGGTGCCCTACAACCCTGAGAGAGAGCAAGATGCTGACATCTGGGTGCAGGGAGGGCCTGTCTACTGAGACTGTATACAGATTGCAACGAGGTAGGCCTGTACAACTCTGGTAAGAAGAGACTTCTCTTCACAATTTTCTCACATACCTGGTGAAGAATCTGCGACTTTGCTCGGTGCCAGCGGTTATGAAGCGGCCCCTGGGAAGCATGGAAGGCCGTGTGAGTAGCTCTCACTCAGTATGTCTGGATCTCTAAAAACACACTTTTGTTCACAGTGCCTCTCGTATAAAGGTTGTACTTTGAGGATGTTGGTGTACAACAGAACTGATGTTTGTTTTGTTTGAGAGACAGACATGCTGCAGAATGTTTTATTGCCTAGTTGACAATGCTGCTTTTGATGCTGGTGGTTCCATTCCTTGGACACTATGCATTTTTGTAATATGTGTTAATGGTATATGAAAAAATGCTGTTACCTAGGCCAAGTACGGTGGCTCAAGCCTGTAATCCTAGCTATTTGGGAGGCAGAGTTTGGGAGGATGTCAATTTGAAGCCAGCCTGCACAAAAGAAAAGTTCTCAAGACACCACCTCAAACAAAAGCGGGGTATACTGATATGCAGCTGTAATCCCAACTAGGTGAACGCACACATAGAGTCCTCCAATCTACTTTCATGCCCAGTTCAGGCTGGCCCCAGGATAGAGTAAGATTCTGTCTCAAAAATAAGCAATGCAGACAGGGCTGGAGGCAGGGCTCAAGCAGTAGAGTGCCTGCCTAACTTGCATCAGGCCCTGAGATCAAACTCTAGTACTGCAAAAGAAAAAAAAGATGGATAGATTCTAAGTAGACAGATAGATAGACAGATTCCTAGTGCCAAAGGTGTCAGTATCTATAACTGGACACACTTTCTTTAAACATTTTTATTAGTACATGGTAGTTACACAGGTAGGGCTGGTTGTGCAATTTCCATGTATACATATATTACACCCCAGAATGGTTCATTCCTCCATTATTCTCCCTCTTCCCCCCACTACCCTTCTTTAAATGACTTCGACAGGCTCTTTTGGTTTTTTTAATGATGCTTAAAGTTAACAGGCTGCTCCTCAGGCCTTTTACCTTTGCTCAAATTGTTGAATGCTGGCTCAATTTCATGGTTTTTGGTTTGTGTCTAAGGTACATCTTAACATGATAGACTCAATGCATTGTGTAGCTGTGGTTTTTTGGAAAAGTCAATCTTTTAGAAACTGTTTTTCAATCTTTGATAAATGTTTTCTTTAAAGTTCAAAAACAATTTAATTTTTTTGAATCAAAGGACACACATAGTGGGAGAAAATATTTGCAAATTACATATGTGAGAATGGATCAATATCCAGAATATGTAAAGAACTCCTGAAACAACAAAACCAGAATACCCAATTCTAAAATAGGCAAAGGACTTAAGTCAATCTTTCTCAAAAGAATACACAGTGGCCAATAAAGATGTTCAGCAGACTAATTACTAAGGAAATGAAAATCAAAACTACAATTAATAAAGTGGTATTCACTTTATACCCATAAAGGTGGAAAAATTAGAACTCTGGTGCACTATTTGTGGAAATGTAAAATGGTGTAGCTTTGTGGATAACCATGTAACAGTTCCTCAAAACACCGCTGGAGATGTGACTCAGTGACAGAGTGTTTGACTAGAATGTGGGAGGCCCTGGGTTCAATCCCCAGCACCATGAAAAGAAGGAAGGGAGAGAAGGAGGCAGGGAGGTGAGAAAAAGACTGAAACACAGAATTACCACTAAGTCTAGCAATTCTACTTCTGGGAATATAAACAAAAAGATGAAATCAGGGACTAGGTGCAACATACTCACAATAGCCAAAATGTAGTAATCACCCACAAAAGATGAATATAAAATGAAATGTTGCATAAACCAACTTACAATGGGATATTATGCTGCATTCAAGAGGAATGAAATTCTGACAGATGATAATATGTGGATCAGACTTGAAGATATTATGCTAAGTGAAATAGCCAGACACAAAGGACAAACATTGTATGATTCCATTTACGTCAAGTTCATAGAGACAAAACAGTGGTGGCCAGGGGATAAGGAGGAATGAGGGGTACTGGTTAATGGGTACGTCTTGGTATAGAATGTCAAAAGGTTTTGGAGATGGGTAGTGATGGTGGCTGAACTCCATGTGAATGTACTTGATACCAGGGAACTGTATTAAACTGTTCAAAGGGTAATTTTTTCTGTTCAAAGGGTAATTTTTTCTTTTTTCTTTTTGGTAATTCTGGGGTTTGAACTTAGGATCTTGCACGTACTAGGCAGAAGCTCTACCACTTAAGTTACACTGCTAGCTAAAGGGTAACTTTTATGTAATGTATCTTTTACCACAATAAAGAAAGAAAAGAAAAACCCCTCACTACTCCCTGACTTTTTAACTTTAACAATACATCATAATTGTTTTCCTGGCCAATAAATGTACATCTAATTCATCCTTTTCCAAACATCCTAGAAACATGCATTGTATCCTAGGAAGGGCATGTGCAGAATACAGTCCAACCACTCCTGAGGACTTTGCTGTTGTGTGTCAATTAGAATGCTAAGGTTTTTATTACCTGTTAGTTCTGCACAACAGAGTTCCCAAGTGCCACCCTTTGATTACTATGGCCCACATGTGGACCTATTTCTACACTAATTTGCTGAACTTTTCTATTAAAATATCTTAATAATAATTTGTTAATTGGTGTTATTGTATTATTTTATAGTTGAATTTCTAATGATTTTCCTTTTTATAACTACTTCATTGAAGCTGTTTGATTTAGGTTGTTTTTATAGTTTAAGTTAAAGATGGTCAAAGTTGTATTTGAAAAAAGTGGTTTGTCTTAACGCCTAGATATTATAATTTGAGGCAGACATAACTTTCTTCATAATGATCTTTCAATATTAAGAAACATCTCTCCCCACCCATAACTATACAACTAAGATGTCTCAAATTTGTTTTATGATCGTAGCCTATGAGAAAAATAAAATATTACTAAAGAGAAAGTCCATAAGAGGAATTTGAGCAAGCTGTGATAGTGCACATCTGTAAGCCAACATTCTGGAGTTTGAAGCCAGCCTGGGTTACCTAGTAAGATCCTATCTCAAAAAAAAAAAAAAAAGAACAAGACAGGGAGAGCTGTGGCTCAGGCCTATAATCCTAACTACTTGAGAGATGAAGACAGGGAAAATTGCTGCTAGAGGCCAGCCAAGGCAAAAGTTCAAGAGACCCCATCTCAACCAATAAAAGTTGGGACTGGTGGCATGTGCCAGCCACCCCAACTATGAAGGAAGTATAAAAAGAAGGATCACAGTCCAGGCCAGCCTGGGTATAAATGTGAGACTCTATTAGAAAAATACCTAAAGTAAAAAGGGTTGAAGGCATGGCTCAAGGGGTAGAGCGCCTGCCTGGCAAGCACAAGGCCCAGAATTCAAATCCCAATACCACCAAAAAACAAACAAAAAGGATCTAGTTATAGAACTGCCTCTCCTTTCTCAGGGTTACAGCCATCCCAGGCCCCACCTTCTGCCCCATTTCAAAATCCATGGGTGTGAGCAGGTGACAGAGTGAGGACTAGTGATTAATCACATTCTCAAGCTGAGGTGCCTGGCTCACACCCATGAATTTTGGAATGGAGGATAAGGTGGAACCCTGGATGACTGTCACCCTGGGATGGGCTGGTCTCTGCCATCAGAGCCTCCCTTTGGGTTTTTCTCTTCAGGAACTTGGAAGGCTGTTGTCCATCTCCTGGCTGTAGTACATATGTGTCACATGCATGGTTCCCTTATCCTTCTGAGAGCTCAGCCTCCTGGCCACAGTCCTCTCCAGCCAGGGTCCCCTTCACTCTATTTTACAGAACAACGCATTGCTCAGGTTAATGCCTTGTGCTCCAGAGTTCCTTTATTTGTACAAAAAAAGAAAGGTTATTTGAGCAAAAGAAGCAGCACCAGTTCCATGCCCTTCTGTGCTGCTAGTCTATCCTTTGCTTTCGAACTTGAGTACAACATCCTCCCTGATCTTTCAACAGTGGAAAAATTGGAAGGTGCCTTAGAGATCTAGACATGGGGTTCTGAGCTCTGACTTCCTCCCTCCACCAGAGCAGCTTTTAGTAGGTACCTCTGCCAGCACTGCCACCCCAGATTCTTATTTGGAGTTTACATACAGCCTTACCCTCAGCGTTCTTTTAATGTCTTCAGGGTGACAGAACGGGTCCAATCCCTCAGCTACAGATACTACAAAGATAGCTACCAAGACTTATAGTAACTTAGATATTTATGACAAAGAATGCCATGTATTCCTAGGCAAGAACCCCGTTCCTCCTTGGTTGTGTTCCTGAGGCTTAGAACTGTGCTCATCTCTCAGATGAGTGGTTGGACCAGTGCATGGGCAGATTTATTGGATGGATGAATGGATGGACGGACAGATGGACAAATGAACAAATGTGATAAAGTTAGCCACCACCAAGCTTTACCTAGAAAACGTGAGTTGTGGTCCTGCATGTACCACCGGAACCTCCTTTGCTGGAGAGCGATCCGTGGTGGCCGTTCCTCCGATGTGCAAGCTTTAGAGCTACAACTCCTCCCCACCTTTAGAGCTCAGCTCCTCCCCACCTTCCAGGCCCTGTGATTGCTTTGCATAGCAGAAGGTCACGGTCGGTTGAAGTCCACCTGCAGAAACTGCAGAAGCACACACCTAAATCAGGGAGTGCCTGGGACGGGATAGGAAGGAGGGTCAGGAAGGGTCACGAGCGCAGAGGGAAGTGCAGTTCGGGCGACTGGAGGCTTTGGCAGGAGGTGGATGGAGGGTGGAGAGGCAGCGGGCGGGCTGGGCGGGGCGGGGCCGCGGCGGCCTCCTGCACCTGCTGGGGCGGCGCTGGGCAGTTGGCGGCCGGCGCTGGCAGCGGACACCTCGGAGGCGCCGGGCGCAGGTCAGACAGGGGGCTCGGACCAGGGGCCGGGAAGGAGGCGCCCACCGGGAGGGGATCCGCTGGGAAGGGGACTCAGACAGATCCGGGAGCTCAGATTTGCGTGGGTCTCCACTGAGGATGGCGCTGGGATGGGGAGGGGGCCGCGGAAGCCTCCAGCTGCGCCCCGCGCATCCCGACCCGGGCTTTCGCAGCCCTAAAACTGAAATGACTCAGGTGAGGGGACCGAGTGGGGCTCCTGGCCTCCATGCAGCCCGCGGGAGCGGCTCACGTCCGCCCTAAAGACCCCCCAGCTTTCAGTGCTCCACACACACACTTAAGTCGTGCGCACAGGGACCCTATCTGTTGCTCCTTGTTAGCTCCGATCCCGACGTGTCCCTTCTTCCAGGAAGTCTGGTGTCTGTTAATGCCAGGGGACTGATCAAGTCCCTCAAGTCACTATTCAGCTTGCACTGATAGGGCAAGGGGTAGAAGCAGAAGGTGGGATCAGCCCTGCCAGGTGAGGTTCAAGTTGGTGTCTTAGCCCAGAGGGGTGATCAGAGATCTGATCCAATCTTCCACAGAGGAATCCGGTGTATATTTCAGCCAGGAAACCAAGCGCTTTATTAGTTTGAAATCACCTTACAATTGGAGGGCAGCCCCTCCTAAAAGTCACAGAAATGGCCATTTCCTTTCCATCCTCACTGGTGCCTGCCATTTTCGTCCTCTTCCCCCACCGCTTCCCGCATCGCCCCGCCCAGCGCTCCCGTTTGACGCCTGAAGTGGCCTAGCCTTCTAAACCGAAAGGCAGACAGCATTGGGCCAGTAATCAAACACTCATTTTAATAGGTAGTGTGGCTTATTTTTCAGAAGAAACGTGTCCTTTTTAAAAATTCAGTAGAATCTGAGTTTTATACCTTGAAGTAGAGAATTGTAATACATTGTGAGATATGAGCCTAGGGCACGTCAGACTTGGTGCTTCACAACAGTCTTGTCACCCTCTGCTCTTCTGGTCTCTAGAAAAGCTAGGGAATTGACTTTAAGGCTTCTTTGAATATGACGCCTTGGTTTTACAAGGGGGGAGTGGCTGTGCAAGGGGAGGGTAGGGCATTTTCTCTGTGCACATTATTTGTTCTGTTATTATAGGAGCCAAGCACTCGATTTCCGTCTTCCTAAAGAGCTCTGATTTCCTCTCAGTTTTCCATGAAAGGTAGAAACACTATTGCCCACTAAATGCTATATATTCTGGGTCCTTCTCCAGCCCTTCTGGTTGTTGCTGCTTGTAATGGCTTAGATGAAGCTATTGAATTTCATGTGTAGCACCACTTACTCTATGTGGGGTCTCCCTTCATATGTCCCTGGCTATGGCTCTGGCTTAATCGTGGCAAATGGTACTTTGAGATAGGATTTGAGTGATGGAGAGAAAAGGGGTAATGAGATAGACTTCTGTTTATCTTCCCACTACTTCAAGATAACACCAACTGCCATACTTAATTGTTCAAAGTACAGATGATGCTTGTGTTGGGTATAATCAAAGGATTATCTCTCCTCTTCAGACATCTGCATGCTGAAAATGGGTAAGGTTCATTTCACCGTAAGTAAAGCCACCCCGATAGCCAAAGTCCTGAAATTTCAAACCTTCTTAACTATAAGAGAATCAGAATCATTAGTGTGCTGTCAAGAAATGGGTGTGTACATAGACACGCATCTTAACCCACATTTGTTTCTACAGACAGGTCATAAGACAAACACTAGGTAAGACTGTACTGAATATGAGCAGCTAGAGGACACAGGCAAGCGGAACTCTGAGCGTCCAGCCTTCAGACCAGCCCGCCTTCTCCCCCAGACTTTCACTGGAGCTAGAAACAAGCGAAAAAGAAATCATTTCAATTTTAGTTGCTTTGTTTCTTTTATTTGTTCTCCTGTGTAAAAATTAGATGCTCACAAAGTACATTAGTAGAGGCCAGAAGGAAGGTCCAAAGGTCTATCAGCCACCTGTATATGATGCAGTTACATTGGAGATACCCAGACATGCCAAGATAAGCCATTATCACTATCTTGCTAGTAATCAAAGCATTATGGGGCTTCACAGAGCACAGAGTGGTTTCTGTAGCAGCACTGTGAGGTAAGAGTGGTGAGTGCTGTCTGTACCATAAAAAAGGAAACTGAATTGGGGCATTGTTGTACTTCTGGCTCAGGGTTATTCAATGGTAGAACAAGCATCCCAACCAGAATTTCTTCCAAAATGGAAAAACACCCATGGGTAGGGGTAGTGGTGTCATTTGCTTAATTTTGTGATGGGAGATTGTGGTTCATTTCTCCTGAACATACGTTTGTTTATTTATTATTTGTTTATTTATTTTTGAGACAGATTAATTTTTTATTTTCTTATTATGTAAACCAGGCTGGCCTTGAACTCACAATTCTCCTGCCTCAGCCAAGTGCCGGGCTATAGGGTCCACCATCTCACCTGGTTTTTTGTTTTTTTGTTTTTTTGGTTTTTTTTTTTGCAGTACTGGGGCTTGAATGCAGGGCCTACACCTTGAAACACTCCACCAGCCCTTTTTGGTGAAGGTTTTTTCAAGATGGGTCTTGCAAACTGTTTGCCTGGGTTGACTTCAAATTGTGATCCTCCTGATCTCTGCCTCCTGCGTAGCTAGTATTACAGGTGTGAACCACTGGCACCCGGCTCTCCTAAACATTTTTTTCATATATTCTCTGACTTGAACTCTTAGAATGTAAGTTTGGAGATGGGTTGGTCCATCCATGCCGCACATCCTTGTTCAATGTCATCACAAGAATATTTTAGGCTGGGAATAGCCTTAAAGATCTTCAAGTCCAATCTTCATGTACTTCAGAAAAGAAAATAAGGTTCTGGAAAAGTTAAGCAAGTACTCCATGTTCCTCCCCCAAATCTACTTGGTTAAAGAACTACATCTAAAACCTAGGTCTCCTCAGGTTCAAACCGTTGTTCTTTCTGCCATCTAGTCCCTCAAAAGTCCTCTAAATATATATATATATTGATCCAGTCTGTTGTCTTGAGTCATAGTGTCCTGGATTAAAATGTACATTTCCTTGATTTATTATGGAGTTATGTTCTGATAAGCCCCTTTGTAAACTGAAAATATCAAAAGTTAAAATGCATTTACCACACCTAACTCCTGACCATGCCAGCCTGGCAACACGGGACACTGTGCTCGTTAACTGACTTGGAGTGCACTCGCCAACTGCCCAGCCTCACAAGTATACCAATACACAAAAGGGCATTGTATGGCCAGCCTGAGGGAAGATCGAAATGCAAAACTGAACACATGTGGCTGTCACGCCATCATAACTCAATAATCCCTAAGTTGAACCATTGTAGATCAGGTTCATGCCTACTGATCCTCCTGTTCTATTCTGTGTCCTGTGAGGGACAGAGCCTTCTTTGTCCCCCTATGTGATTCCTAGCACAGTGCACTTAATCAAATGTGTTCAATACATGTTAAATAAGTGTCTGAATACATATGAGATGGCATTAGAATTTCATTCAGCTACAAGTGACAGAAGGTGGCTTAAACAAGGAGTTTGTTCTTCAGTAACTAGGAGTGAGGAGAAGGCTCGCAAAGGACTGCCTCCTGGAACAGGCTCTTTGTGTCTTCCTGCATGTGTGGGACTTTCCTCCTCACCTGGCAGAGGTGCTTATCTCTCCTGTATTTTGGCAGAAGGAGGGACAGAAGGCAGTACCAGCTGGTTCTCTCCTTTCTGGTAACTACTAAGAGTTTTTCTGGAACCTCTGCCCATGGAGTTCTTACATCTCACTGACCAGAACTGTCACATAGATGCTCCAACTGCAAGGCAACCTGGGGAAATCTCGTGTTTTACTTGGACAAGTTACTGGAACAAGTAAGAGGAATTCACTTAATAAGGAAGAGAGAAGATGGATATTGCCAGGGGAGGAGGGGAGTATCTGTGTCACCCATGAATCCTTTATGAGTCACAGACTGTTTCTAAATGGGCTGGTTTATTTATTTGTTTTACTAAAAAAGCTATAGATAATGCAGTGAGTCTAAGGGGAACTTTTGAAAACAGATTCTGAGGCCTAACTCAAGAAATGCTGGTTACAACTGGCCATCCATATCTGGGGGTTCTACAACCACAGATAAAAACAACCTTGGATCAAAAACAGTAAAAAAAAAAAAAAAAGAAAGAATTGTGGATACACTGAACATGTACCAGCTTTTTCTCTTTGTCATAGTCCCTAAATAAAACAGTATGAAAATGATTTACACAGCATTTCTATGCATCCATCCTGTCAGGGTTTCCTAAGTGGTGTAGAGACGATTTAATTTACATGGAAGACGCATATAGGTTCTATGCAATGCCGTTTTGATTGAGATAATTGAGCACATGCAGATTTTGGTGTCCCTAGAGGTGCTGGATACTGAGGGATGACTGTTAAAAAGTCTGGACAAGTCTATGACTCTCTGGAATTCCAAGTGCTTTGCCTGCAGGCAGTTGCATTTTGAGAAACACTGAATTTGGGGTTAGTTTAGTAGAAGTGGCTTTAATTTATTCCCAACTGCTTTTCTGCCCCGTTCTTCTTGAGGCTATTACTTTTTTTAAACTTTCCTTCTTGGACAACACAAATCATGGTTTAGTGTTTGAAGTTGTTGGTCCTAGGTTTATATGGAGTTTTTACTGAGTCGCCTCTCCTGGCAGTGCTTTTGTCTGTGTTTTTCTGATCGTTACTGACGTGTTTCTAAGTGGCATGTGACTATTGACCATTTCTTTTTCTTTTTTTTTCCAGTTCTGAAAAACACCTATTGACATCTTATCTTGGAGGGTGAGGGTTTGGCTCTTTACACCCTTACTCTTCCCTCTTACATTGGCTTCCCTTTCTCTAAGCTCTCTAGAGGTCTAGCGCAATGGCTTGCTGTGTGAAAGGTAAGAAATATTCACATTATAGTAACTAAGGAAATATTGTTCCCAGCTAAGCCATATGACATATCCTGGTCTTTATCCTTCCTGTCTTCACCAAACCT